CTAGTAATCGCATATCAGGTGAGTTTGTTGGTTTTTGTATAATATCTGTATTATTTTTGATCGGATAATGATGGCACGGAACACACAGCGTTTTCGTGGTTTCAAATTTTCATGCAATATTGAATGTATGCTGGTCCCACTGATGCCTATAGTTGTCTCTATCTCAGGATAGGTCACATGACGATCTCGCAATATCAGTTTGCGCACAGTATCAATAGTTTCCGAAAAAACAAATAATTTCTAACGGCCTTTAGGAAATTCGTCTTGGAGTGTTTTACAACCTTGATTAAATTCATAATACCATTGATAAACACTAGTCCTTGATGACGGTTCATCGTCAAAAATTTAATTAAGTACATCGATGCACTGCTGCTGACTTAATCTACGTCGAAAGTTGTAAAAAATAATCGCGCGAAAATGTTCGCGATTAAATTCTATTTTTTTGCTGAGATGAATATTTTAAGTTACTGTAAACCTTATAGTTAGAATGATACGATTTAGATCCTATACGCAACACTCGATTTTCAAAAGCTTTTCTTGAGACGAATTTGTTCAGGCAAAACCCTTCGTCGTATATATGAACATGTAGTAATCACTTGGCACCAGCTCCGGCCCATAAGGAAAATGCTCTCTCACCCAAACTCTTTGAACTTTCTTTTCTTTTGCCAAAGCAGGCCACCTTGGGGCAATTTCTTACTTAAGATAGTCCAATTTTTGACAGTATAGACCCGAATTAAAAGTTTGCTAAATCCCCTGCTCATCTGACCAAACAGATAGCATAGTCTGGAAGGTTGACTGTCAACCATGGTTTTGGCGCTGGCTCAAAGCGTTCCGACCACGAACGTTTAAACTTGACGTTGCCATAAGTGCTCCACTTATCAGCATCACTGCTTTAGAAATAGATCGATTTTATTGCGATTGATATTCTGTCATATTCATATAATATCATAAACACTATTAACATTTTCAGCCGCCGGGCTTGCGTATTCGCCTTTATCGAAGAAAACCAATAACATTTTTTTGTACTAATTCGTTTTACCCAACCTTATATAATATAATATATAAATAATCCTTAAGAAAATTGTAGACAAGAACGTGGCACAGATTTAAAAACCAAATATCTCCCAGAAGTGAGATATTGTTATGCATATACGTATTCTGCCTAGTTAGCCAATTTGGAAATCAAATATCAGATTTATTTGGTCTCGCTAACATAATACGTAATGAAATTACCAATATTTACTGACATTTTTATTGTCTCTTGTATATTTGACTTGGCAAACAAAATGTCTATAACAAATTTTAGGCATAGATATATACAATAGCAATAGGAAAAATATGAAATTCGGGGTTGTAAGTCAAATTAGAATGTTAAATAAAAAAATATACTATGAAAGACATATATTACTTCAAAGAACATTAAAGGAACCCATTTAAGCTTAAAAGTAGGCAAGGTTGACGACGGGAAGTGCCTTCAAAATATATAAATATATACCCATATATATATATAAATTATACTTTTTTTTCAAGATATTTCCAGTTGGGTATCTACAATAGAAACACATTTTTTATAACACTATGTTCACCCTCCAATGTTTCATAAACCCTTCCGTCCAGTCAGCGACTTTAATTACTGTCAACAAAATTACAAGTGCTATTTCCGTTTGAGGACGGAGTACTGCGATTGCAAAATCAACTGTAAAGTGGCTGCATCAACAGACAAATATTCTAACACTTACTTATAAAAGAGACCAAATGAATGTAAATATGTACGTCATAACTTTTCTTTGCAAATAGGTAATTACTGACATAGGAAATCGCTTCTGTGAAACAAAAAGTAATCATAGTCTCTGTCATAATAATAGTAGTCAGGATAATGACATTGTAAGTTAAATTTATTATTTTTTTTAATTTTCCTTTTCATTCCGTATTTTTGCACACTGCCTGCTTGTTGTAGAAGTAAATATAAAAAAATCTCTCTAAAGGAATATGAGATGATCAGGAAACTGAGAACAAATCGAGTGATTTTAATGGCTAATAAACACTTCCGTTCAAAATTACGGCAGGAAAATATATAAACGGTCGTACGCGATTAAGAAGCTAAGTATTTGAAAATTTTAATGGTATAAAAATTTAACTTACTTAATTAACTGTCAAATCTGCTGTCAAATTAAAACATGTATTTGACCGTTCTGATCAATATACTCTGTCAAAATATCGAGGGGAGACTTAAATAAGAAAAGCGTTTAAAAATTTGAAAAATTTTCGAGGTTAGCAGGGTTGGCATCCACATCCGGTGACAAACTATTGCAATAGGAGTAAAATAATATTTTGAGAATACAAAACAGAAAGCGGAAGTTTGGACAATCGATAAATTATTAAAAAATAATGGCATGTTTAATCGAAAAATGTTCTTTCTTCAAAAATTTAAGCTATTCAGTATATATCTTTGAACATTTTAAATCAAGAGCTACATCTGCGCACGATGCGACAGACAGAGTATTAACTGCCTCCAATTCTTATTGGCAACGTTTGAGCTTTGACACTTCATGTCGACTATCTTTATTGTTGTTATAATTTGCATGCTTGTTACAACTTTACTGCTACCGTTTTTTACTGTTATGGCTCGTGTGCCGTTATTTTTTTTTTAAATGTATTTTTTGCAGCGCGGCATTTTCATATCCCCAACACCGGTTGACTCATATTTATTTGTCGCTCCAAACATACAACCAAATAACGGTATGAAGTAAGTAAACATCGGGGATAATATATATATATATATCGCCCAACTAATAAACTCACACCCAACGCGTGTAAATAACGCAGCCCTTGCAACAGTTCAGTATCTGCGTGTGTTCTTCTTCTGCCAATGAACGGATGAGCATCATAACGGTAATCATATTACCTCGATTCGAAATGAATTCATAACTGAATTTTCATTTTCATCCCCGGCTACACTCGACTTTCCACCGCTCCCAGCTCCAAAGTGCTGCCATCACTGAGTGATTGTTATTGTTGTTGTTTTTGTTAGCCTATGTGTCGAAAGGATGTACTGGGACATGCTCGAATGCCATTACAGACAGCAATACGGCGATATATAAACACACATATATATATATATATTGAACGACACGTAGGCCATAACAAGCTCTCCTTGCTCCATCTACATTCAGCTCGTCTTTGCTTTATTTATGCTTCTATAGCTCAGTCATCATAGTCGGGCTTGGTTTGACGTTGACAAGCGTTGCCATTTTGTTCTTATTTATTTATTTCGGTTTTTTTATTTTTTCTTATTTTTCGTGTTTGCCGTTCGCAATTGTTGTGAAGCTGTCGCCAGTGTGAACTTTTCCGGATGCACCTACCGGAGTGTGTGCGTGTGTAACGGCTTTGACAATAATGACAACACCAACAACAATTCAGTTGGTAAAGTTTCGTGTTGTTGGTGTTGTTTTCGTGATGTACTTGTTAAGGTTTTTGTTTTATGAGTTTTCACTTGAAGCATTTAATGGTGAGCAGCGAGCTGGCGAAAGCAATTTATTGCATTCACTTAAATTTACTTTAATTTATTTTCTTTAATCATATATTTTTGGGTAAAATGAGATAATGTTTATGGTAGCTAAAGTTTAAAACCGCAGATGTTGATATGCAATAATATTTGGTCTGGTGGTTGCAATAAAATCCTCAGTGCATAGACACAAACCGGTTGAAACATGACGCTTTCTTAATCTGTAGAAAGCTTAAATTAAACCTTAGAATCGATATTTTACATATATGTATTTGCGTAATCTAACAACTCAATCTTTATCGATAAATAAGACATGGGCTAGCGAAACTGTAAAAGTTACAAACTGTTGTATGGAAAACTATTTTTTAGTATTTAACAACAGAAGTTAACGTATCTTCTTGTCTTTAGAGAGTTTGTTAAAAAAATCTCAAGACGATTTACGTAAAGTTTGTAGGAATTTTCATTATGTTATATGTACATTGTTTTAAGGCGAGAAGCGACAAAAAAATTTTAATTTTTCCATTTTTAAAAAACTCGGAACAGTTGAATAAATACAAAAAAACCTATTTTTTTTTAGTACTGGCCATTTATTTCAGTTTCTAAGCCTCTCGCAAGATAAACATTTTTACTGATTGAAATTCTGCCCTTTGTGATTTTCAGATGACCAGAAGAGTGGAAATCACGGCAACTCATTACACGCCCTTCTTTCCTCCTCCTCAACGGGTAAATTCTGTAAAATTTTTTTCTTTGAAATTTATTTTTGAAACTCTTGGAACATTAATAAATAACTGAAAAAATAGATAGCAGAAATATTAATTGTTTTTTTTTATCAGGCGTCGAAGAATATTTGAAATTTAGCCCTCTAGACTAGCATACCCCGTTAATATACGGAGATTGTATTCGAACTTGTCTTAAAGTAGGGGAGTAATGTTGAAGTTCAAAGGGTCTAAATAGTTGGGAGCTATTTAGAGTGCCATTTTCCAGATGCACTCCAAAATCTAAAAGTATGAATCATTAAACAACAACACACTACGAAAGTACTAAAATCATCAATGTAAGAAAGTTTAATAAGTCTTCACTTTGTCTTGACATAAAATTTAAACAAAAGCACTCAGATAATTTTAGAACCAAACAAGAAGATTAAAATGCTAACTACCTACAACTTAAAACGCAAAGCTCTAAAAAGCCCCACTCGCAAATAAGTAACGAAAATAAATATACAACCTAGGTATATATATACTGTTAGATATGCCTCCAACACAATTGACGGCAATCTCACGACAGTCATCGCAAGTACTCGAAAATGTGCTTGTGCAAATATTTAAATTGCATTTCAAAAGGAAACCGTCAAAAGGAAACATTTTTACAAAGGTAAGAACGCTAAGGGAATGAATATACACGTTGACGCATGGAGACAAGGAAACGGGAAAGACACGGCAAAGAGGAAGGAATAACTCACAAGTAAAGAACAAACAGTAACGCGTTGTCAGCTGGCACGAAAATATCATGAAACCAAAAAAATATGAAAAAGAAAATACAAATGATGCCAGTGCTGAATAAAGAAAATTCTACAGTCTCTCTGTGCGCTTCGGCATCTCCGTGCACGGATGCGTTGTTAAAAAATGTGTAGTGGAAACGAGCGCACCTTAAATCATTTGATGAGCAAACAGATAAATAATGTTCCACAATGAAAGTCGCAAAGAAAGATAAAAACTTAAAGGAGTATTGTAGATGAGGAATGGGCAGGGGAGCCGACTAATAGGAGGAAAAATGTGAATGGCTGAAAGTATATACGCGCAGGTAGCCGAGAAAGAAACAGGACGAATGGAAGAGGAAATGAAATGGAGCAAGAAAAATTGCCACGGCAACTGCCAACCAGGTAAATACCAACAACAATAAAATGGCAACCAAAGTGGAGACACAAGCCAACAGCGGCGAATAAAGGGAGAGTTGTGCAACTTGGTAACGCTCAAGAGCTTTGAGACACGAAGCAAGCGCGCCAAACCAATATTAGTGTGCAGGTGTGAGTAACGGTATTTTACCCGCGCAGCTCTCGTTGACGAATGTTGTAACATTTTCATGACGACAGCAATGGCAACATGGCGATGGTCGGTGGATCCATACTCTGCAAGGACACTGCTTGGCGGAACAGTTAGACAAGCAACGGGTGCAGAAAAGTGTTGGCAATTTCTTGTTGGAAAATGTATGTATATTTGAGAGTGAATGTGCGCATTCGGTTCCGGCGGGTGCCAGAGTGTATTTGCTTCACTTTTTATCTGTCAACTTTGATCATTTTTTCTCCTCAATTTTTTTCTGTATTCGCCAAAACGAACAGTGCTCAGGCTAAGAGTCGCTGGAAAGTTTCTATCTGGGTGGTGTTGTAAGTCAAAGCCAAAGCAAGCAGTAGCTGGTAGTACGAATTGTCGAAACGAAACAAAATTAACGGCAGTTAAGAACCACCGACTAGCAGCAATGGAGGAAATAAATAACGAGCAAAATATCGTGGCTGGCATAATGGCTGGAAACTTACGAGCTGTTGAAATGGAATGGCATGTAATGCTGGATCTGTGAAAACAAGAATAATATCTGCATTTGAGAATGCAAGATGAGTTTGTATGTGTATGGGTGTAAGTACAAACAGAATTGATCGGCGCTTACGGAAAATAGTCTTATTAGTTGCCGACGTAACTATGGGAACAGGCTGAATTTTTTGTGCAAGAGGTTCAATATTTCCGATTTTAATAATATTATATTTTAGGTGAAAATTTAAAAGCTGTAGATAAAAACAAAAAACTATGTGACAATTTTTTAACAACTTAAGGATGTTTAAAACTATGCAATCTATTTGGATATATAGAAAATGCGGATGACACCCGAAAATGTGCTTTCAGAGTGTAATATTTCTTAGACGACTAAATGACATATTAAGAATAAAATATGGAAATTACTGTGTGACAGGTTAATAACCAGTTAATTAAAATTCATAAAATCGGGAGTGTATCCAGCCGACAGGATACTAGAAACCTGGGGTGTACTGAGGTCGTAAACAAACCAAATGAAATTAATTTGGAAACATTAGCATGTTAGCTAGATCAATATTGCGGAAGAAAAAAATTATAATTTCTCTTGCTCTATTCAAAAGACAAAATTTATATTTCTTCAATGGTTTACACCAGTCTATAATTCTCAAAAAGTCGATGTTTTCTGCCAAAAGTACACTTTTTATACCCTGAACAGGGTATATTAAGTTTGCCACGAAGTTTGCAAAACTTAAATGATCAGCATGATGAGCTGAGTGGATTTAGCCATGTCCGTCTGTCTGTATATATACAAACTAGTCCTTCAGTTTTTAAGCTATCGATTTGAAAATTTGCACCTGTCCTTTTCTCACTAAGAAGCGGATCATTTGTTGGAACGGCCAATATCGGATCACTATAGCATATAGCTGCCATACAAACTGAACAATCGGAATCAAGTACTTGTATTGGAAAATTTTTGATTTAACGTAATATCTTTACGAAATTTGGCGTGAGTTATTTTCTAAGATAACAATGTATTCTCCGAAAATATTGTACAGATCAGATCACTTTAGCATATAGCTGCCATACAAACTGAACGATCGTTTGCGTTAATTTTTACGCTTTCGCTAATGAAAAGGAGAGGGAGTTTTCCTTTTGTAGATATGGCTCCGAAAACCATAACAGAGGTTGTATTTTGATACCTTTCAATAGCTCTTTTATAAGGTGGGTTCTCAGACATACCGGTTGCATAAACGCGGTCATTTTGTGAGTTGTGGCTTGTCTGTAACACAAAAAACTTCTCATCAGAAAACACAATCTCACAATTTGCCGAAGGAGCAAATCACTTCTTTCTCTTCTCATTTGCTTTTGTCGTTCCTTTAGACCATGAGTTCGTTTTTTCTTATAAGCCTTCATTCTCAAATTTGTATTAACAATTTTTCTGATGGGTTTTCGGCTCACGCTGAGGTCCTTAGCCAGTTTTCTTATTCGCTCACGTACAATCTTCAGCAGACCTGGAGTACTGACCGTGTAACTGCGACTAGATTGTTTTTGATATTTCAACACTACCATTTTTCTTAAATCGAGCCACAGTACGTTGAACGAAATTGCGGTTAACATCAAGGCTTTGGAGAATCGGAACAATTTAACTTGTTTTTTTTTTCTTTAAAAATGTAACTTTTTCACCACCTCTTTTTTTGATTTCATTAATAATGACAATTTGATCAACAACTAATAAATATTTTTAACAACGAAATTATGTAATAAATTACTTTCCTAACAGTGTTACCATACAATCATTTATACAAAGTGGTGATATATAATACATATGTTACTACTACACATCAATACCTTTGTGCTCCTATTAAACATGTATAGGTATGTGTTTAAATGGAGCACAAAAAAAAATTGGGCTTATGTATGTATATAATATATATGTAGATATACATGTGTATATATTTGAATTTAAACCACGACTTGTTGCAAAAATATTGCACACTGCATTTTAAAGCGTCAAAAAACAAAGTAACAGAATAAAAAATGCATTCAACAAATATTTGTGGCAAGTACACGTGAATGCACAATTACAACTGTACAAACATAAATTGTGTATTCGAGTGCAAAAAAAAACACACACACACCTGCATGTGTTGAAATAACTGCAATTTTAAATTCCAATTGAATATTTCAAACAAGTATGTACCTATAAAAAAAATTGAAAAATTTTAAAAAATGCTATATGCTCTCTTTAACTATTTTTAAATTGTCAAATATTTCTTTAATAGCACCAATTTCAGGGTAACTGCTATATTTTCAAATATTTTTCAAGTCGAAGGTAAATTTGTTAATTAGATCAATACTTGTTTGGTATGTACCTTCTTTTAGGTCCTCAAAAAAGTGGTCTTTCAAATCCGTAATCTGTTGGCAGAAGTGATATATCTCCTAGATGACTATTCCTCAGGTAGAACCATCACTGGATTGTTTAGCGTAATGGTTCACTCGGCCATTTTGAAAATTATTGTTATTGGAAGTGTTCCGAAAATTTTCAACAGTCAATGTTAGATCTGATCGAGGATGTGGATGATTATGGCATGATTTTTAGGATATTAACGGAAAAGATCATACGCCTTAAACGCTGTAAGTATTTACGATTAACTATTTTCTGACAGCTTTCGCAAAATTGATAGATTGAAGCAGCTAAGATATAGAAACTCTGCACATAACTATTTATATAAAATATATTGGTTTCAGATATCATTTCCTTTAAATTTAGCGTCCGTTTGAAGTCAAGTGCAACAAGATCTTGAAGCCATTGATAATCTCCTTTGATGTGAAACCATTGCATCTAAGGTTAACGGCGAAACCATATACATAATAACAAAAACATTCTATCTAAAGGTATTGTCAAACTCCTAAAAAAGTTGGAAGTTGAAACCGCCCAGGAAAAATGTAGGACCATTAGAGATAGGTCAATTGAAAGTAGAAGCACTGAGAAATAAGCACTCTCGAAAAACCAATATTTTTCAGCAGAATTTTAATTAGTGAAAGTATGACCGCTGGACCCAACAGGAAGAGCGTGTCTATCGAAAGTGTACAGACGTCGCCCCTATTATGTGAGGAGAGTTTGCAAAAACCAATCAATTATATACATAGAGGAATTTTTGATAACATAGCCACCGTAACTTAATTCGCTGAACACTGACCATCTCCTTAAAGTTCAAGCAACTCATCTGCAAAAAGTAATACGTACAAGTAATATAATATCCCGCTGGTGCAATGCCTAGAGGCAACGAAAAGTTAATATATATTCTAAGTAACTGCAGTAAAGTGGCAAAAAAGTTGCTGTAGCATTTCCAACTACAATCAACTTTTTCTGGTAGTCACTGAAAATGGGAAGCACACCACCCCAACGTGGACAAGAAAGCAAAAACTTCACTTCTGCAAGCAAACCAATCAAGCTCGTGACATTTACAAGCACCTAACACATATCTATGGCCATTTATCTATCCTTCTATCTATTACACCTTCACTTTTAGCTATCATTCTCATTACGCGCTCTTCTTTCGTCATCTACAAGTTAACTAAGAATGTTTAAGGGCAACTCATTTCGTTAGCATTTTGAAAAATCACCTGCGGCTATATTTTGCGTTCAAAGCAAGATAAACAAGAAACGGACCCGCAGCGCAAAAACAAGTAAACCATCAAAATTACACTCCACCAAACCTTTTCTGCAGAAAGTTTTTAGCTTTAGTCAATTACCTTGCAATATCTATAGATAAGTAAAATGTGGATATGAGGGTGATCGAAGGATTTATAGAGCAGGTAGATAATATTAAAAAACAAGAGAAATTATAATAGTAGATTGAAACCCATTGGAAACGAAAGATAATATGACAAACATTAAGTGAAAAATAATTTACGGGCAATCTGTGGTCCGGGAAATGAAGAGGACGGGCGTGGCTGAATTCTTAAGGGTTGAGAATGGTATATCTCGATTTACGGCAAAACTATGGATCCTACAGAAAAAAGTTATATTGCAATGTAGTAGGTAATAAAAACATCTATAACTTTCATATTGTGGCTCTTTTCACATAACCTCAAAATTTATGTGAAAAACTCATATAACCAACTTTTTTGGTTTTTTATTTTTATCTTGTACAAAAAATTTGTATTTCACGAAATTTGATGAAAAATCACCTTCTTAGGTCCTAAACACAATGCATTTTTTCCATTTTAAAATATTTATTTTTTCTTCTCTATTTAGATCTAATATCGTAAAAACCCGTAATTTTCAATAAAAAAATTTCAAGTCAAATATCACATTTTTTTAAAAAGACTTTAAAAAGTAGGATTTATGTTCTTTCAAATGGTTTTAACTTATATACATTACTATGCTAAACGTGCTCAGAAAACTAATAAAATTAGTCTGTGACTTATAGACTATGAAGAAAATAAAATGTATAAAAATCCCATGAAAAAATTGATCGCACCAAGAGGAAATTGTTTTTAGAAATTCAAATTATTTAACTTTTTTGGAAAGTTTAGGAAACTACTATTCAGCAATAAATGGTGTAAAACGTCAAATTAAGAGTATAGGTATTCGGAATATTTGTTTTTGGAAACTCGAGTAGCTTTGAGCCCACCATAGTATAACGGCATCACTCGTTGGAGCAACGTCGCCTCGCAAGCATCTTCAACTTCAACTTAAGTTTCTATGAAATCATTACCATCATTACCTGTCGTCAATTGCAAAGTGGTAACAAATATTGGGGTGAATGCGTTTATAATCGGAGGAGTCATTGTTTGTCGCTCGAAATTACTGAACACTCGCACCTTCCTTTTTTTGTTTCTACAAAATATTGTAATATTGCCTAGTTTTCCTGAAACTCATTCAGGTTGAAGTTTGGTGTTAAAGTATCATCCATCTTCGAATTAACCAAAGATTTTCTACACATTGTATATGGCGTAGTCTCCGGTTTCATGAGATTTCTACAACAGCAAATTGGGACTTTACTTGAAATATAAGAATGTATCAATTGCTCCATATTAAGCGAAGTGAAGAACCGAAAGGTAGTGACATAAATAAAAATAAAATAAAGAACATTTCCTTAAAAATTAACCAAATGTTTTATAATATTATATATACCATATATATGCTGATTAAAAGCCAGTGGAAAAGGGAATATGACACGTCACATATTTTGCTTATTTTTAGAATCATATTCAGTTACTAGATATGATACATGAACATACTAAATTTATTGTCAACGTGGTACTTACTTTAATATGCATTTACTAATATGTAAATATCCTAATGGTACAACTCTAATGATTGTTGAAATAAGTAAAACATTACCAACAAATAGAAAAAGTACATTAATTTATTTTTGAATTGTTATCATTAATTCATTCAAAATATCTTAAGTAATAGTATAATTGGAGCA